CACCTGTACCATTGTGAACTCCCAACTGATTGATAGATTGACCATTGATCCGCAGTGACACGTCTTCAGAGACCACCCAGCGAATTATTTGCCACTATTAATCAAAATTATTGCGTGAGTGGAAATCAGGTGGAAGACAAATTTACGCCGCGAAGAAAAGCAATCACAATTTATTTTGAAGCAGAAAAAATCCAAGCAAATCCAGCAAACTTCCACAGAAACTTCAGACACAGTCTGGAAATGAGATACTTGAAATTAAATTTGCCAATTTAAAGCACGAACCGCGAAAATAACTAAGCAAAGAGACATTCTTCTACGCTAAAATGATGTTTTTGAGGTTATGATTGACTTTAAAGCTTTTTCTCAACCAATTTGAAGTTACTTTGAACACAAATGCTCAACTTTGCGCAGGAAAAAGAGAAATATTCTTAGCTTTTATACAAATTTGATGATTTTGATGAGGTTATTTAATCCCAGAATCGGTTTTAAATCAATCACATAACCTAGAAAAAGCAATAAAATTGATTTTTCCAGGCAAAATGAGTTAGAAAATGTCTCAATTTGTTGACACTAAAGTTTTCTGCCCCATGCAAAAATCACTACTTTCGGTTCATGCAAAGAAAAGAATCAACTCATTTCTCAATCCCTTTGTCTTTCAGGAAATGGTCGGCAAAGTAGCGAAAAGAAATTACCACGAAACGTCATAAATTCCGGTGTCGAAAAAAAAGCCACGTGCAATTGTGAGTCACACACTGAGATATTAATAAAGTTGAAATTCCAATAAAGAAAATGAATAAATTTGAGGTATTTTCATGCTTCAGTGCGGTCTGTGCCAATGAGACATGATTTTTGAATTAAAATTCAAGAAATGGGAGTCAGTAACGGATCCAAAGTTCGTGACTCTGTGTAAAATAATTATTCGACAGTCTCGCAATTATATACGCCAAAGTCTCCACTGTCGATTTTGCCCACACACCGGAAAAATCCTCCGCAAAGTCGTTAATTGTTCCAATTCACTGTCAATTCATATAGCGCAAGTCTTTCTCTCTCTCTAATCAGATTACACTAATTTTGTCGCACGCACTCAGCGCACTTTCCATCGATATGATCAGCACACCGAAATAGTAACTTCTCCTGGCTTTAGCGCGTTTCTCAGCGCACTTTTTCCCAAGACAGAGAAACTGTATGGTCAGAAATGGTGTACAGGTTAGTAGAAGTATCGAAATAACTACAATATTTCCTTCTGTCGCTTTGAATTTCCTTGAAAACATCAATTTTTACGCAGTTTTAGACTTGGGATTTGCGACTATGAACTCAATTGTAAAATTGTGGTGTAAATTGGATTGTGAAATACAATTAGAACTTCTTCATATCTTTAAACTGCTGCCCTCTAGTGGCAATTTGTGGAGAAAATAATGAAAAATTTTTAATAAAAATCACGAAACCTTCAAAGTCAACTTCGAAGTCTTAATCTCTGCTGAATGATAATTGCAAAGAGAGTCGAAAGTCTTGAGTATTTTGCATAGCGTTTGCGAAAGTGATGTACAAACGTCAGCTGAACAATCTTCCCCTTGACTTCACCATTCTGACCATGCCGTGGTCGTCTGAGTCCATCATCGAAGAAGAACACGAGAGGTGAGATGCGCGCCTATTTAACAATTCTAGGCACTTCCTCGTAAAAACCCATCGATGCAATTTGTATTCGATACATGACACGTCTTCCGGACTGAAGCGTGCCTATCGTCGTTTCTTATGCTCAATTGAGTGTTTTCGTGGCTCTCAAGTGGCTTCAAATTTGGAATTTATATGATTAATTTTTGTGAAATTTCATCTTTGGCGAATGCCACGGGAAAATGCCGCGATATTTGCTGAGAAAACATTTCACCGCGATGGTGAATCGTGAAGAAAATCCCAATGCAATTGTGCACAGTTCTTAGAGCATATGGAAATTTGTAATCGACCATAAAACACAATAAAATAATTTATAAATGTCTCATAAATATTTTCAATTTATGCATAAATACAAGAGCACAAATATAGCGGTTTGACTCTGTTTTTTCTTCACCTCCAACTCAATATGCAATTCCCTCTTCGTCTCACTCCTGGAGTCTCATGCGACCAGAGCGCGACTGTTGGTATTTGTGCTGTCTTAGATTGGGTAGTAAAGTCTCGCAACTTTACGATTATGTGCAGAAAAACATCGATAAGGTATGGAAAACTGTTCATGGCGCAAAGCATGAATAAGTAGATATTATGCCTGGCGAGGCTCTCTTGCGATCAGCGGTGGAAAAAATTCACCGGAAGTGACAATCCCTTCCCAGTCAGCTGAGCGAGACGAAAAGGCAGTCCAGCAGCAAAAAAGGCACTAATCGAGACGCAATTTTGCCACGTTGAAAATTCGATTTCTCGTTGAGATAATTTCACAATCATTCCAAAAACTCCTCTAAAACATGCGCGCATTCGTCTCGAGAAAATTAGACTACAACATGGTTCGTCTCGTTGCCCCCCCCAAAACGGAAACATGGCCACAGAGAGTGGGATGGAAAAATCCCTCCACGGATTTGTGGGAGGTTCGAAAATGTGAAAACGGAAACATGGACTGTGTCCACGAAATGGTCAATTTGTCTCAATCAAAGTTAAATTAGAGGCGTCTCACGAAAGTCTTTGTGTGCAAGTCTCGCAATATTTAAATTTCGTGGATTTCTGTTCCGTTCCACATGAATTGCTATGACAATTTCGTTGAGCAAATTCGTTCCCCAACACCATGACTTGGTCAAGGTGTCCAGGCGATCGCATAGTTCCACTGTTTTCTAACTAAATTGCTGCAATTATTACCAAATTCTGGTTAGAAATGAGTGAATTTAAAGAAATGTTTTCTTCCAAGATTCAATTTGTTTTTGGTAATCAATTAATTGTAGAATCACAAAATATCGATCATAATTTGTATGTAAATCTTATAAAAACAATTTATAATACTGAAAACATGATTTAAAATTACTTTTTCGTCATTTTTGTGCAGTTTTCCTTAAAATACGCTAAAGAAAATCATTATGGCAACCCTTAAAACACTAGAAAACTGTGTTTAACTTCACACAAATCATCTCTCGTGGACTGTTTTCCACAATAGATTATAAAACCAGCGATGAAGAATGCAGAAAAGTCCGAGAGGAGAATTTATGGACTCTTCTGTCAAAACAGCTGCTAGAAATCCCCAATACTTGAGTTACCCGATGAAAACTTATTTTCCGACTCATTTTAGTTCACCAAACCGTGTTTGCCTTTCGATTTAGACTGTTTTAAAGGCTGCTGTGGTGATAAGAAGACAAATACAGACAAGAATTGCGACATGTGGAACAGCGCACGTTGTATAAATATACACATCATCAAGAACGAACCAATGGAAAAGTCGGACGTTTTTCTATGCCACGATCTTTCTGTGCGATCTCCTGTCTTGCCTCATCCAAGTAGACGCAAAATCTATGTAATTAATAGAAGATGAAGGCAAAAAGTTTCGTGTTTTTGCACCACCACTCATACACGTTAGTGAGTTAGTGAGTGGTGTTTGGCAACACGATGATCGACAAGCGCGAGTGGAGGAAAAAAGCAGCAACAACACGCAAAAAAAGAGCTTAATAGTTGTGTGTTGTGAGGCTGAAGTACACACAACAAAATGGCCTCTCAACGCTCTGAAGAAATCTAAATACACCGCGAAATTGAAAACGCCGCACAGCACAAGTTATGAAATGCATCAGCGGACATTTTGATCGACAAGCACACCTCAAGTCCTGTCCGAAAAGGAACGGAGTCTGTGAGTGGAAAAGTGTCCCGCAATTGGAGAGTGTGGGAAACTGCGTGATCTGCATGGATCGCGCACATCTCATTAAGCTTCAAAGCTCGCGCGATCATTCCATCCGGACTGTGTTGTTTCAACATACACGCGATCGACCGATCGATGTGTTCGTGCGGTCGATCCACCAATGGCGGGAGTGGGCGGAGTTAATCAGAGACTCTTCGCGCTAGAGCGAGTCAAATCGATTTCCATTTATCCGCGACGGTGAGGCGAAAAAGAGCAGCGCATATATATTGAGGGAAAAATCACCGCCACGAAAGAGCAACAACTTGTTGCCCAAGACATCACACAATATGCAAATGATCATAATCGAAAGAAATTGTGGTAATTCAATTTGGGGTGGAGGAAGAATGTCTCTCTCTCTCTCAGATAATCAATGATCATTTGTTTGCGGCTCAAGAAGATCTTCTTAGCTTTTTTCTATTGTTTCTCAAGTAGTTCTTCTTCTCAATGTTCACAATTTGATTCATGCGGAACTTGATGGCGATTTCTGTATAGTGACACGACTAATATTCAGCATTCGAAGAGGTGCGGTTTTTACTCATCTTAACGATCTGACCAAATTGTTATTTGGCAATTTCAATTCCTCACCCGGGATTCATTTAATGCCACTCATGTGCGTAATAACTCCAATAATGACCTATCATAAAATATCCCAGGATTCAGTCTTTATACCGCTTAATTCTCTATATGAAATATCAATTGTTCTTTCTCAAAGACAAAGCCTAAGATGACTAAAAGTTGCGCTTTTACAAAGAAAATTCCATTAAAATTCAAATCATATCATGTTAATCGATAGTATTCGATGGAAAACCTGCATTTTAATCAACTTTCAAATTCTCTATAGTTTATCGAAATAAAAACTTTTAAGATTCTTGCCGTTTTCGTGTTAAAGTTATCGACAATTATCGACACAAATTGAGTCCAATTTGCTATTTTAAAACAATTTTGGGAGAAAAATAGGACTGATTTGGATTAATTAGTTCTTTAACTATCGATTCGAACATTTTTTCTTTAAAATTCTGTTATAAAAGGAATTTCACGAAATTCGCATCGATAAATATCAGTTAATGTCGATAACTTCAACGTGAAAATTGATCCTGAAAATAGATGCAGAAATGTGAAGAAAACAGATAATTTAGACACTTACCTAGCATTTTACTGAGATCTGCGTTGTGGAGATCGGGATTCTCGTCCGCCAGCTTCTTCCGCTCCACTTTGGCCCACACCATGAAGGCGTTCATGGGGCGCCGGATGCGCGCCTCCTTCGTCCCCTTGAGAGGTCCGCCCGTTGTCACTTTGGTTCCGTAAGACTGTCGCTGCAGGACGCCGTAGCCGGACGCGCAGTAGTCGCCCTGGTAGTTGGAGCCCTGCAGCTGGTAGCTCCAGCTGGAGGCGTCCTCCTGGCCGCCGGGCGTCGGCAGGACCGTGGACGGCAGGATCTCCTGATAGGCCGGATACTGCGCCATCAGCGGCGAGCCCGACGACATGATCATGGCGCCCTGCTGCTGGCTCAGCGACGGACTCTGCGGCGGCAGCATGCCGTGACCCGCGGACAGCGAGGACATGGACAGCATCTGTGGCGAGGAGTTGCTCTGCGGCAGTGGCGAGCCCGCGGACGCCGGATGCATGGAATGATTCACGTACTCCTCATAGCGATGATAAGTCTGATGCTGAGGTGAGCTGAAACGCATCAAATCACCGAATAAATTACTCAATTCATACATGATTGTCTAAAGTCAGCAATTTTGAGCCTCTTATCGCGCTATCTCATCGCATGCCGCACACGCGATAAGGCGACTCTCTTGCCACGCAAGTGCACAGACAAGGAAGCTTTTCCCAGTGTCTCAAGAGATCTCTTGCTCATGTTCAGTAATAAATAAGTGCGAAAGAATTCATCTCGCAATAATCATACATTTGCGTCAAAGCGCAATAATCGATAAAATGGCGAATGAGTGAATGCAAATTGTGACGGATTTGATCTTGAGATGTAATAACCAATCCAGGAAAACCAATAAAATATTCTCTGCGTCGTCTTAACTGTAAAATTGAAATAAATTTCCATTTCATTGCCTCAAAATTGCACCCACACGAAGATTTTTTTCCTCCCATTTCCATCAAGCTTGGAGTATAATTTTCCGTTTCATCTATTTTATGGTAGCATATTTGCAAAAAGACTCGATCTATTTTTACTACTGCCAGGGGCAATTAAATATGAGATTTGCACATGCAGTTGATGTATTTACATTCCCTTCACACGTTAAACTAATTGATTTTTAATATCTCCATGGAAAATATTGGCTTTTACGAGATTTTCTCGCTTGTTTTCTCTTCCACTAGAGTGAAAACAAGATTTTTGGCATTTCACCAAATGATCGCAAATCGTGGTAAGTTTTTCCCCGCAATAAATCGTGTTTTGATAAACATTCGATCGTGACTGCAGGACTTGCGATTGAGTGAGTGTTACAGAAAATGACACAAATGAATTTCACAGTGGGAGATGTAACGCTCTCAAGCTCAATAGCCTCAACTGTGATCACACTTCCTAAGGAAGGGTGTATTTAGTGTATCATATGTGCATGAAAACATTCTCACAGAAGCACGACTTTGAGTTTTCTCTCTCGCTCTCTCTCTCTCTCTCTCTTCGGACAAACTTTGAGAAAGATCGGGAAGAAAGTCTGCTGTTTGGTGGCTTTTTTCCTGTTCTTCATGATTTTACAGTGTGTTTATCGGGAAAGTATATCACGAAGTCAAGTGAAGTTATTCAAAATCTCAGATTTAACGGAGAGGAAATTTCTTAAGGGATTTTTCACTGATGGTTTTCCGTTAAAATTCTACAATAATATTCAATTTTTGCCTAATTTTAACACATTACACGTAAATTTTCAAATTTTTTCAATCTCAAATTTAAATTTCAGACGATTTCTATAAGAAATGTCAACATTTCGGTGAGGAGAGAAAATTTATCGCTTGTGCGACAGAAAAGTAATATTTGAGAAAAAGAAAATCGCGAAAGATTCCCGCATTTGCAGTCGACTGAAGTGTCAATAAATGGAGAACAGGCTGAAATGTCACGTATAAGTTAGTGGAAAAAAATGTTAAAATGAGGTGTTAAATGTAGATTTGCAATTGGTTGATTTCAATATCATTATCATGAATATATATTCTGCTGCATTAATAAAATGGCAAAGAGAGTGACGCGGAGAAGGTGAAGCGAATGTGCAGTGCCAGAGCGATTCATGTGCATGAGGCCAGCAAGACCAAATTTGGTGCGAAATATTTTTCAATAAATAAATATTCAATCGCCAAGCCGCCACGCAGATTGGAGCCACGCACGCAGTTTGATGGCATTAGCCGACAGACGCCATTTGCACCACGCGTTTTGCATTTCAAGTGATCGATTAGTCGCGATCGCGAAGAGCATCGCGGCCTCGCCAGGATGTGTCACTCGCCCTAAGAAGACTCCTCAACCGCCCATTCAACATATTTGCTGGGCAAAACAACACACTTTTCTTGCTCGGTGACTAAAAGTGTTGATACACTTCAAGTTTCATTCCACGAAAATTGATGATCGCAATTTATGATGCTTGGGATTCCTCTGACGGGCAAATTTACGAGCAGGAATTTTTCGGGACTCGCCACACATTCAAAATCACTCCTCTCACGGAGTTGCTTAGATACAGAAAACACACATAGCATTATGCAGCGCCTTAACAGATGACAAACAGGCTTCGAGAAGCCTTTATCACATCGGCAAATATTTGCACAGAAGCGTGATTGCATGTGCAAATAGTGGAAATGTAAATGCTTCAACATCACATTCTCACCACTCAAAGAAAAACTACTCGTGAGTAATTTTTGTATACAGTTTTTTTTGAGGCTCTTTCAGTTGCGAATTAACGTCACACAAAAGGGATAATCAGGCGGTTTATTCCGCAGGGATTATCGAGCTTTATTCCCGCCTTATCGATCTAATATCATATCGCATTAATAAGTGTGAGTGACCAAAAGTATTTTTCTCTGTCACCTTGCTTTCAGGTTCACCAAAAGTCACATTATTATTATTAAAATGCATGAAAGAAGAGCATATTTTCATTTTCTCTGCGATTCACAAGCATATAAAATTACATCATGACGATGTCTCTATTCTTATATGATCTCCTCTCTCTCGCCAACCATAACACAAAAGAAGCGACATAATATCGTGATAAACGCTCAATTGTGTATGAAAATCATGGTATATGACTGACTCCTGAGTTGCAGAGACAATTCGCTCGCTCATTCACAAAATACCTCCCAATTGACACGTGTAAATGCCATAGTATTTAGCCAGGAATTCTCCGCGGTGAAATTTTCTCCCCTGTGGAGTTTTTCTCTCGTGCCGACAAAATCCTTATCAATGGGCTAATTTTATCAGCCACACATGACGTACGACTGTGAAAAATTTCATCAGCTATCACCTGATTTTCCCCTCCGCAATCTCTCGCTCTCTCTCTCTCTCTTCTCAATGAACTCCATCAATGTGAAAATTGCTAGCAAAATGTTGAATTTGACGTGAAATTGCACGCCGCACTCGTTCAGGCGACATCGTGAGTGAAAATCACTTTTACGTGACCTGGCACAATCAGGTGTTCTCTTATTTATCCACATCTTATCACCTCTTACCATCTTGTCGGATGTGTGTATTGTATCTTATCAACGACACCTCCAAACATACCTTCAACCTCCGATTATCTCGTCGCGCCGCTGAAGGAGGAAAATGAGTGCTAAACCCCACTTTTCCCCGGTGTGTGCGTGTGCGATAAGAAATTTGGATGATTTCATTCAAATACCTCTCGAATTATTTCGGAATTTCCTACACTTTTCACCTATCTTGATTATAGGACATCATTGAAGTCACAATTTCTGCAAATTCATACTTATTGTGATCAATCACAACATTTAGTGTTGCCATTTTCGCAATCATGTTGAAAATCATGTTTGTCTTTTATAATTCAGAGTGGATTTTAAGTTTAAACTAATTGTACAAATCATTTTGCTTGCTTTTGTTAGTGATTCTGCAGAAAATCCTAACAAATTATCCAGAGTTTACTCTTAATCAAATCCGTTTAAATCTCGTCTGAATAAAGCTCTGACTTTTCAAGTTAATAATTTCAGATCATAAACTTTGTGATTATTCAATTTTTTGTTGATTTTCCCAAATAATTCATTATTTGGGATTATTTATTTTAATTTTTTCTTAAACACTGTCGAAAATATTCAATTTTAATTCATTTGAAAAGCATAGCAAGAAGCTCTAGTACTCATGAGCTGTGCCAAATCGAGGCTTTATCGCGGCACTTTAGTGTGTTGGGAAGATTTCTGATGTGAAGTGTGAGTCACCTGTTTCCACTTTTGTAGGGCTCTTCAGACACATTTTCCCCATAGTTGCGATTGTAGGCTCGTGAGAGACCCCCCATAAATATTGATAGATTCCGATCGCGCCTTTTCCTCCGGGCCAGAGTGGAAAAGCACATCAAGAAAAGAAATTTCAATCCAATTGATCTCGATACAAATGTAATGTTATTTAGCTTAATTCTTCCCCTCTATCAGCCATTCAGGAGAAGACAATGGAGTGGTTTGCCCTCAAAAATGTCTCTCGTGTTTTTCTTTACCACGCTCTTACTTCATTATAATCACAAGTATATCGCCGCCAGAGCAGATGAATGAGTAATTAATTACATGTGTTAATTTTTGCCTCTTATCCACACCTCTCTCTCTCTCTCTCTCTCTCTCTTCTGCGCACGCAATTTGGCGACAGTTCAACACACTTATTCCTTCGTGACTCTGTCTCACCTCAATTTTTTGGCGCCCTCGCGCCACGTCCTCAGCGGCTATCTTATTATATACATTTGGACACTCTCAAGAGCTGAAGAGATTCCCCCATTTTCCCATAGTGTCTCTCTATGGGCGTTCGTGTGAAGTGAATTAATTAAAAATTTCTTTTAATGGCCTAATTGGATGCGCTGCTCATCAAATTTAATGCTGTGTGCATAAGAGAATTTGGACATTTCTTCGTAAACGGTACTGTCACGCTCCTCCAACGTAATTAACCCACACAGACAGGCACTATCGTTACTCATTAAATTCACATAGCAATTGTTTGAGCACCTCATATTTCTTTGGCATTTTTCTCATGTTCATTTTTCCACTATCCGGACATTGACATGCCAATTTTTATCTCCTCTCCTTAATATTCACCACACACACACAATATGAATTGGGAAATGAAATTGTAATTAAGTGTCTTTTTCCCTCCTCCGAAGCAGTGGCATTTTTACCGTGCACGTAATCTTTGCCAGATGGAAGAGAGAAAAAAGCCTCGAATAAAGTTCAGATTAGAGTCAATTTTCTTGCATAAGGAATCTCCGTTGGCATGAATTGAAATCTTTCGCGAAAAAAAAACTACAACAGCTTCTGCCATAATTGCGGCCCCATCAATTAAAAATCATTAGAGAAAATTGCGAGATGTTCAATCATCTAATTAAATCTCGAACAATTTGCTGTTATGCAATTACATTCAGCACTTGCATCTGCACATTTTCCTCCAGCTTCTCCACAGAAAGTCTTAGTCACTTTTTAAAACCGAAAAATGCTAGTTTTAGGGCAGAATTCTAAACTAGTTTAATGATTAGTTTGAATTT